GGTGCCGTGGGGCGCAGGGTGGGGCAGGGGATGGCCATGGCCGGAGGGACGCTCTGAGCCAAAGGCCTCCACCAGGAGGGGTGGGTGGGCCGGTGGGCTGGCAGGAGTCCTTGGTGGGGGGAGGACTGGGGCGGTCCCTCACCCCCAGCCCCGCCTCGGGCTCCAGGGCCAGTTCTCCGTCCTCTGCCGGTTGGAATCCAGGCCCCTGGGGGCAGGTGCAGGGAAGTGGCACTTGCAAGCCGGGTGCTTGTTTCACTCTGACCTGCGGAGCCTCTCAGTTCTGCAGGCCTGAGCGCTTCCCGGCTCTGAGGCTGGGGCAGGGCAGGGCCGGGACCAGCCTCCCCCGGGGCCCTGGCTTCCTCATCCTCGGTCGGCTGAGTTTCTGGGGTGGGGGGGGGGGGTGAGGAAGAGCCTGATGCTTCCTCCTGCAGCAGCTTCACTCCCGGGGCCGGAGCTCCGTCCCCAGGACAAGATTCTGAAAGTGGCCGGTCCTGGGACTCTGAGCTGACCCAGCTCCTCGGTGTGTGGTCGCCAGGACGGCCCTGCCCTCCGAGGGAGGCGGCTCCCGACCCGTTCTCCCCCCACCAATCCGTGTCACTGAGGCTGTCCTTGGCCTCGACACGGGGTGGGGTGGGAAGTGGGGCAAGGGATGGCCTTCAGGCCCCTCGCTCACCCCTGAGGGTGACCCCACACCCTGCCCCCAGTACGGCATCGTCCTGGACGCCGGCTCCTCCCACACGTCCATGTTCATCTACAAGTGGCCGGCGGACAAGGAGAATGACACTGGCATCGTGGGCCAGCACAGCTCCTGTGACGTGCGCGGTGAGGGGGCACTGCCGTTCTAGAAAGGAACCCGGGGAGTAGTCGGAAGGGCTGGGCCTGGCCTGGCCCAAGAGGGGCCTCGACATCCCAGACGGACAAGAGGGGCTCCGAGGAGCTGGCGGGCACTCACCCCTCCGCAGGAATCCTGGGAGGCCAGGCCAGGGGGGCAATGCCCAGTGCTTTGTCCTGCACCTGTGCACACACCCACTCAGTGCAGCCTCAGAGACTCTGGGTGGCACGCGGGTGGCCCCTTTGTCTGTGAGCGTCTTTGTCCTTAAGCTGCCACCTGGTTTGGGAGCCCCGCCCCCGCCCTGCCCCGTTGGCCCCCCTCAGGGCTGGCCGCCAGGCTCACACCTCCCTCCAGGTGGGGGCATCTCCAGCTACGCAGACAACCCCTCGGGGGCCGGCCAGAGTCTTGTTGAATGCCTGGAGCAGGCGCTGCGGGACGTGCCCAGGGAGAGGCACGCGGGCACGCCCCTCTACCTGGGAGCCACAGCGGGCATGCGCCTGCTCC